TGATTACGCACATTCAACTGGGTATAAGAAGAGGAAGACCCCTTCATTAAGGGGAGGGGATCATTTGACATTAGAACTTTCTCTCTCTCCAAAAAGACTTTGTATTTACTTTTGAATAATCTGTAAGTCAGTCCGCTTTAGCGACCTGACCCACCATATTAATACAACTCAGTGGATGTAGGATTTGCTACCTTAGCATCCGAACCACTTTAAAAACCCTCATTGCATTTATTTCGCTTCTATATTCATTATCACGTGTGCTTTTTGACCAATCAACGTTCCACCGCGTGACAGTTAATTGGTGTCTAAATTTCGCATCAACACTTATATATTATTAATAAGGGATAATTACTGAGATTTGGTCAAACCGGTACCAATAGTGATGTAAAATCGAGCCCTCATTAACAAAATTGATAACTCAAATCACTGTACCATTATCCTTGACCTTAAATATCTACTAAAAGAATAAATTATTTTTATCCTCCCGAGGTTTGCCTAACACTCCAAAACCCCCCCCTCAAGCATGTGTTATGACTATTTTACCCTTCATCTTACAATTTTAACAAGATTTTATTAACGTTTGACAAACGGTAAGAGATTTTACGTCATTACTGATACCTGAGGGGGGTTTTCAGGTTTGACCAGACCTCTCAGTGGTTTAAATAATTATGATTTTTTTATTATAAAATGAGTACACGACATTTTCCCACCCAAGGTTTGCCTTAATGACACTTTCTTACCCAAAAAGTTTTAAAATACTATTTTCCTACCCAAAGTTTATATTTTGTTAATACCTAAAATACATTTCATTTTCTCAGCTAACGCTCGATGAGTTATCAGAAATTAGGGTAAGAGAGGTTTTATAGAGTGGATGCTAGTGGATCGATTGGTGGTGACTGATTGAAGGAAATCAGGTAAGAACATAAAATTCTAGGTTTACGATAGTTGGCAATCAGCGAGAAATCAATTGCCTGAGTGAGAGGGGTTTTATAGAAAGAGACCAGAGGTTCAAATAATGGTGACAGAGATAATTTTCGCTGTCGGAATCGGCTATAATCGACTTTGGGTTTTAACAGAATATAAGCTTTCGGTGAAAAAGTGGTGTTTTGAAACTTTTTGGGTGGGAAAGGGTCATTAAGGCAAACCTTGGGTGGAAAAAAGTCGCGTACTCTTATAAAATATACTAAAATAGTGGGATTATTTCAAAATATATATATATATATAGACACACACATATTGTAACTATAAAAACTCCATGCAAAAGTAGCCACAAACAACGCAGACCCTCCCTCTCTTTCTTCTCTGGCAAACCAAACAAAAGCAAAGCCAAGTTCAAAATCAAAAGGTTATTAATTATATAATTAAGAAATGAATGAATCTCCGGCCAAGTGTTTGTTTGGTTTCGTGGATTAATGCAGCGACCGGATCGCTCGGTCTAACCTGTGATATGTGTGTTAGTTTACGTATAACTCTTTATCTCTTCTTTTGGTCTTGCTTTTTTTTCGCCTTTTAAGTTGTTCTATTCAACTCTTCTTTCTCATTTCTGTTTTTCTTATAAACCCTCTTCCCTCGTCTCTCTCTTACTTGATATTTTCTTCCTCTTCTTCTTCATTTTCTCCTTCACGGTACAGGTTTGTTTTATTTATTTACTGGTTTCATCATTATGATCAAGTGTAAATGTAATGAAGACTTGTGTTTCTTCGTTGTTGTTATATTCCTATGTCGCATCATTTTTGCCTATAATCTTAAGGGTCAAGGATAGATTTTAGGATCGATTATTTTTGTGATTAGAAAAAAGAAAAAAGAAAAAAGAAAAAAATAAGAATCTGACTGCATCTGATGTATAAAAAGTTGTATTGCTGACACATTTCTTTTTAGATGGAAAAGTGTTTCTTTTAATTAGCTAAATCCATCAGAAATATGTCATGTATAAAGTTTTAATAGAAAATTTTTCATACAAACTGACGTGTTCTAAGATGATTGTATATGTATAATTATTCATTTACTCTGATGATATAAACACGTATTAGTGTATTGACTCTGATCTGATAATTGTATTAGTAGTTAATAAAAATTCTTAATGACCAAAATTTGATTTTAATCCAAGCAATAGAAAAGGTCTACTCCAACAAAATGTAATGATTCTCGGATCAGGGAATTACAAAATTTGATTTTCGGTTCTTGTTTGTGTTAATACCTTCTTCTTTGTTGAGCAATCCGATTCATTCTAAACTTTCTGTTTCCTTTTCTTTATCGTGTACATTTTCAGGTCGTTGTAAGTAATGGCTGAGAAACAGCAGCAGCCAACCGTTGCACAGAAGATAGTAGGACAGCTCTATCTAAGCTCCACTCTATCCCAAGATGTTCATCAAAGCCACTGTGGGGGGTTTCAGCACCCGGCCGCTATGCAAGCAAGGCGCTTTCAATACGGAAACTATGGCAATTCAACATTGCAACATCCCATCACACTAGTTTCTCCACCTGTGTTTGTACAAGCTCCCAAAGAGAGAGGCTTCACCGGTTTTGCCATCGATTTTCTCATGGGCGGAGTCTCTGCAGCAGTCTCCAAAACCGCCGCTGCTCCTATCGAACGCGTGAAGCTCTTGATTCAAAACCAGGATGAGATGATCAAGGCCGGCCGCCTCTCTAAACCTTATACAGGAATCGGTGAATGTTTCAGCCGTACTATCAAGGAAGAGGGCATGGGTTCCTTGTGGAGAGGCAACACTGCTAATGTCATCCGTTATTTCCCCACTCAGGTTTGCCATTTTTTCGTTTGATAAGTTTTATAAACTAGGCTATTTTTATCTCATGTTTTTTAAAGTGAAAGTGGAATCTAATATTTTTTTTCTTTCAACTTTTCTTTTCTGTTCACTCGGATCTCTTATGTTTTCTTGATTTTATAAGTATCCTCCTTTTTTTCATCCTCGCTTTTATATGTATCTTCCTTTTCTTCTGAAAAAAAGGAAAGGATAAGGATCTTTTTCGATACTTACCTCTTGTTTCTGTTTATACCCCTCGTTCTGAAAGTAAAATACCTCTTGTTTCTGTTTAATCTCTTCGTTTTTGAAGTCGTTTCTATTTCTACATAAGTTGGTTTCTTACTTTCTTTTTTGTCTTTCAAAGATTTCTGTGACGGTATTAAAGTATCAAAAGGTTGATTGTTTCGCTTCTGTATGGATATAAAAGAGAGTTTTTTCATGGAGCCAAAAGAGAGAATGCAATTTGATTTTTACCAGATTATTGTATGATTTTATCCTTTCTGCAGGCCTTGAATTTTGCATTCAAGGACTACTTCAAGAGGCTTTTCAACTTTAAGAAGGATCGCGATGGTTACTGGAAGTGGTTTGCCGGTAACTTGGGATCTGGTGGCGCTGCTGGTGCATCTTCCTTATTTTTTGTGTATTCCTTGGATTATGCTCGAACGCGTCTTGCCAATGACGCCAAGGCCGCCAAGAAGGGAGGAGAAGGAAGGCAATTCAATGGACTGGTTGATGTCTATAAGAAAACCCTGAAAACTGATGGTATTGCAGGGCTTTATCGCGGATTCAACATTTCATGTGTTGGCATCATTGTGTACCGCGGCCTCTACTTTGGCATGTATGATTCATTAAAGCCAGTTATCCTCACCGGAGAGATGCAGGTCCGTAAGTTGGTTGATTTAATTTCCGAAAGTTAAAACTTATATTGCTAATTCTAACATGAGACGATGACATTGTGAATGATTTTAGGATAGTTTCTTTGCAAGCTTTGCTCTTGGTTGGGTTATCACCAATGGTGCAGGTCTTGCCTCTTATCCCATCGACACAATTCGTAGAAGAATGATGATGACATCAGGAGAAGCCGTTAAGTACAAGGGTTCAATGGATGCATTTAACCAGATTCTTAAGAATGAGGGTGCTAAATCTCTCTTTAAGGGCGCCGGCGCCAACATTCTTCGTGCCATTGCAGGTGCCGGCGTGCTTGCTGGCTATGACAAACTTCAAGTGATTGTATTCGGAAAGAAGTATGGTTCCGGGGGAGCCTAATAGATGGTGAAGAAAAATGAAATGTTTTGAGTTGAATTTTGAGAATTGGTTCAGGGTAATTCTTTAATTAGGAAAGTTGTCATCTCCTAAAGTTTTGTTACCACAATTTTGATGGTTGAAGTACTTGATATTTATAATCTCAATTCATCTATTCTGAATTAATATAATTGTTATGGGACCTTTTATAGAACCTATATATGCTGCATTTTGCATTGGTTTGTTTTGCCTCGGTTGCAGTGTTAAATATTTGCTGTCGAGAGTCTACTTTGATCTGATAAGAGTCTTAATCATTTCTCACTACAAGATAGAAACGCAGAGACTCAAAATCTAGTGCTAAAGAGCGTCAATGTTTGAGTTCTCTTCCAAGGCGTAAGATTTTGAATGAGCAATTGAATAAAAGATTTGAGATTGAATTGATAGGTAATCGAATTGAAATATTTGAAATTAGAATAAATTCAGCGATCACAAAATATTGGTGATCTTTTTGAGATCTTGAAGTTAGAATAGATTCAGTTACGGATCACGAAATCTTGATGATCTTGACAAGCCCAACTCAAGTAAATGCTTCCACTCGGCCACCCTCAATCCGAGTTTATGCTTTCACCCAACCACCATCGACTCGAGTATATGCTTCAACATGAATCACTTAAGAGTAGATTAATACAACAGATCTCGACCTTGAGTAATAGATTGATACGACTCACCCCATCATAGTATAAGCTTCAATAGTAGTCACAAAACTCCACCGGAGTAGTAGATTAATACAACCCACCTTGACCTGGAGTATATGCTTATCAGTAGTCAGTAGTCACTCCATTTTGCGGCTAAAATACATCAATAATGACAAATTAGTGTTGAACTAAGATCAAAGTATCTTAGTAGGAAAATATTATCCTCACTCTATACATGTATATATATACGGCAAAAGTTAACTAACTTATAAATAACATTCAAACAGAACACTCTTTCCCGCCTTACAACACGGAAGTGTTAACACAAAACTTCTGATGAACATTTTGAATGCAATCAAGCTCAAACCTTTCATTGCAAAACCTCTCTTAAACCCTCTTCGTTCTTCGCTTCACACGCGCTCCCTCTCTCTTCACCGAGAAAAACCCATCAACTGGAACACAACCCACACTTTTGTTCTCCAAAACCCTCTTCTTTCTCTGCTAGAAAACTGCAAATCTCTGTCCCAATTGAAACAAATCCAAGCTCAAATGACCATCTCTGGCTTAATCTCAGATGGGTTTGCTTTGAGTCGCCTTATTGCGTTCACTGCAATATCAGAGTCAAAGAATATTGATTATTGTTCTAAGATTTTGTTCAATACGCAAAACCCTAATGCGTTTTCTTGGAATGTAGCGATTAGAGGGTGTGTAGAGAGTGAAATGATGGGAGAGAGTGTTATTTTTTATAAGAAAATGTTGAGAAATGGTGGCTCTAGGCCTGATAATTATACTTACCCTCTGTTGTTTAAGGCTTGTGTTAGTTTAGGTTTTAAAATTTTGGGTCTTGAGATTTTGGGGCATGTTTTGAAGATGAGTTTTGATGTTGATGTGTATGTGCATAATGCTTTGATTCATATGTTGGTGTCTTGTGGAGAGCTGGGGTTGGCACGTAAGGTATTTGATAAAGGTTGTGTGAGAGATTTAGTTTCTTGGAATTCTTTGATTAATGGGTATGTTAGGAGTGGATTTTCACGGGAGGCGATAAGGCTTTTTCGAGAAATGGAATTGGAGGGAGTTAAGCCGGATGAGGTGACAATGATTGGAGTGGTTTCTTCATGTGCTCAATTGGAGGATTTGACTCTTGGGAAAGAATTTCATAAGTATATTGAGGAAAGTGGGTTGAATTTAAGCATTCCACTTGCAAATGCTCTTATGGATATGTATGTGAAGTGTGGGAAGCTTGAGGCAGCCGAAGCAATATTTGATAATATGACGAAGAAAACGATTGTGTCATGGACTACTATGATTGTGGGATATGCCAAATTTGGATTTTTGGATATGGCTAGGAAGATTTTTTATGACATGCCAGAGAAGGATATTGTACAATGGAATGCCATAATTGGAGGCTATGTTCAGGCCAAGCGTGGCAAGGAGGCTTTGGCTCTTTTTCATGAAATGCAAGCTAGCAATGTAAAGACTGATGAGGTGACAATGGTTCATTGCCTATCTGCTTGCTCGCAACTTGGAGCACTTGATGTTGGAATATGGATTCACCATTTTATTGAAAAACAAAATTTTTATTTGAATGTTGCACTAGGAACTGCATTAGTTGACATGTATGCAAAGTGTGGGAATATATCAAAGGCTCTCCAGGTTTTTCATGAGATGCCAGAAAGAAATTCGTTGACTTGGACTGCCATTATTGGAGGTTTAGCCTTTCATGGGAATGCAAATGATGCCATATCATACTTCTCAGAGATGATTGATGTCGGCTTGATGCCAGATGAGATAACCTTTCTTGGGGTTTTATCAGCTTGTTGTCATGGAGGTTTGGTTGATGAGGGTCGTAAGTTTTTTGCCCAAATGAAATCCAAGTTCAACCTGTTCCCCCAGCTTAAACACTACTCTTGCATGGTGGACCTTTTAGGTAGAGCTGGACTATTGGAAGAGGCTGAGCAGCTTATCAGAAGCATGCCAGTGAAAGCAGATGCTGTGGTGTGGGGGGCATTATTTTTCTCTTGTCGAATGCATGGAAATATTTTGCTGGGACAAAGGGCGGCTTCGAAGCTTCTTGAGTTGGATCCTCATGATAGTGGAATTTATGTGTTGCTTGCTAACATGTACGGGGATGCAAATATGTGGGAAGAGGCTGGGAAAGTACGGAAAATGATGAAGGAGAGAGGTGTAGAGAAGACTCCGGGTTGTAGCTCTATTGAGGTTAATGGCATTGTCTATGAGTTTATTGTTAGAGATAAATCCCACCCTGAATCTGAAGATATATATGACTGTTTACTTCAGCTTACAAAACAGTTGGAGTCTGTTGGATACGATGTTCCCGCCTATGGAGACAACTTGTTCTTGGGCTTTGAGCTTGAAAATCAATGGCCTGCCACAGTGCCATGCATCAAATAAACTCGATGCATACCTGCAACATCCCCTAACACAGGGAAGTCAAGCATAATATCATCTGTGATCCGTCACTTAACCTATTCAGCTATGCAATTGATTTCTAATGGGTGGAGTACCTGCTCTTGCCGAAGATGATTAATTTAATTTTGATCCAAAACCTGGTTGTGGCCCAAGGAGTGATTTGGAAATCTTTTTCATAAGATACTCAACATGAAGAGCTTAATCCTGGTGAAGGGAAGTAGAGCCAGGTATTACCATTCTCAGCCTGGTTCATTCTATGCTATTTACAGTAATAAATCACTGCTGTTTGTTGTGTTCTTCTCCTTCTAATTATTATACGCTAAATATGTTAATTATCATTTGGATTTTTCAGGCCTTAAACTTTAAAATATGAGGATCATTTTACAAGATTGTACAATCTAGAAAAAGATCAAGATTCCTAGCAAGGAGGTGGAAGTGGTTTTCTTTCGTAACTTGGCACATCAGGGTTATCAATTGTGGTGTATCCGTTCTCTTAATATGAAATTTTCTTGGACTAAGCTGGGATTCATCTTGCAAATGGAAGGCTATGTGGAAGAGATAATTGGGCAGCTTGTTTGTGGTCTTTGAAGACAACCCAGTTAATATTTCTTCGCTAACTGGCTGGACTGCATTCTAATATTTCACACATCAACACTTATCCTATTTTGCAGCCTTCTTCTGGAATTTGCAAAATTGTCTTATTTCAGGTTAGTTTTTGGTGGCTTTGGTTGCCTTATTTATTTCATAGTTGTCGTACTTTTTTGAAACAAAATTGTGATTTGGTCAACTCTCATCGATTTATTTATGTTACCATTTTGTTGAAAAAGAAATATTTTCTTTTTTCAGTAGTAGGGATAATACAGATACTCATTGCCAGTGTACATTTTTCTGAAATGTAGCTTAGAACACATGATTTATGTACTATAATAAAAGAAAGCCAGTTACACTTACATACAGTACTAAAAGATCTAAACTAGCAAATGATGTTGTGCTTGAGGTGCAATACATCCAAGTGACTGTATTTCATAAACCATGTTGGTTCGCAACATGACCCTCAGAGTTCCTAGACCTGTATATAACACACAAGGTGTCTTCAATAAACAAGAGACGTCGGGACGAGAAATCCAAAAACAAAACGAGCCCAAAACAACTTACCATCTTTGGGTAAGCTTTCTTGGCTGGGTAACATTACCGGGCCAGTAAGATGCCTACAAGTTGGTGGATTGTGGTCCAACATGTTTGAAGTCTGACCCAATATTGTTCAAGTCTCTTATTTGTTTGTTTGAAAGTGGAATTATGGAGGGTTGGTTTAGCTAAATTCATAACAAATGTACAGTATCCTGACTCTCCCCATGTAGTAATCAGAGGTATTAGGTAACAAATCCCAAGAAAGAAAGAAAGAAATTTGGGTACGTTTTGGATAAAGAAACAGTAGGGTTAGCCGCAAAACTGAGTGTACTTGTGGGAAAAAGAAAAAGGAAAAAGAAAGAAATTGTAGAGACAAAAAGGAATGCGGGGGAGTGATGATTTGTCCTGGCTTGCACGCTAGGTTATGTTTGAATTGATTCTCATTGAGCATTTTTCATGTTCATGTTCATGTTCATGGTTGGTGTGGCTTTGGCTTTGCTTCTTTGTCAAATTGTCACCACATGGCTGACAGGCTTTGGCCTTTTTAGAGTGAGAGCAGTGATTGCTTCAGCCATGGCGTTGGCACCTTAAATCATTGGACAACAACATTATTTATGGGGATGCCAAAACACCTTTTTATGTGGGTCTACTTTCTCTATTATTATAATTATAATAAGAACAATAGGCCCTTTTCTTTATTGTATTTTGTTTGGATTCTTTTAGAATTTTGTCTTTAATGACTCACATTTGTGATTTGTGTTCATATTATTGGAATCCTAAAAGGCTAAAACCCATATGAAAAATCTCAGTTTCAAAACATCTTATTAAAGTAAGGTATCTTATATCCATTTCTCCTATTACAAGTTTTGCTCAAGTAAGAGTTAATTCTAGATGAATGAGTTGATAGGAGATTCTCAAATGCAGATGTTTATGTATTTTATAAATCTAGATTTTTGTTTGTTGACGTTGATTAACTATAGAAGAATAACTTTTATAGTTTTAAATATCGACAGATTTGACTGAAATTTTGTCTTTTAATATTCAATAGCTGTAGTAAACTATTTAATTTAAATTTGATCCAGATTTTGATACAATATAGACATTTGCATACGAAAAATCTAAAATTTAACACCCAATATGTGTCTCTTGTATTTTTATATAGAAGTTTGTAAAGGTAAACATTTATTAGTGGTATTAAACCATTAATCGATACGAATATGGACGTCAGCATTAAATAACTATTCATTCTCTCTCTACATCAAACACTATTTTTAGACTATTGAATCAAAGCCTTTTAAATGATCGAACGTGTTAAAACAATGTAACATTATTAATACTTAATTATTAGGCCTTAAACATTTTCTCTTAATGTCACAATGTGAGTGAGAGTTTAATCTCTACTTAGATAAGCACATGACGTGTCATTTATCCTTTAGCAATACACTTTTGGCATGCACCCACTTTAATTTTGTTTAAAATTTTAAACTAAGGTTAGTAATTCTAATGATACCCTATCCAAAGAGCCTTGCTTTAAAGAACAATAAACAAATGGCCCCCATTAATTAGATATAATGTTGTCTAATCCTAAGATAAGATTACAAAGCCAGCTAATCTCAAATCATTTTTTTTTGTTTTCTTCCCTTTAATGAAACGTGTTTGTTGTTGTTGTTGTCCTAGAGTGATTCTTATTCCCATTCCTATTAATTGGGTGTGTTTGTTTTATTATTTTGAGTAGTATTTTTGAAATATTATCGTTAAGTTGAGTTAGGTTATTATTACGAGATAAGATTTAAAAATTAATAAAAAAAACTCTAAGGTTTGTTAATTTAACTAAACACTTCCAATAATAAAAAGTTTATAAATTAACAAAAACACTTTCACCCACCCACATTGCTAGATTCTAGTCACCACCGTTGAAATCTTGTTTCATTGCGCAGAACTGGCCAGATCTGGTAGGTCGTGCGCTGTTATGACTTTTTTTGACCAGATCCACCACGGATTTGGTCGAAAAATGCCAGGTTGTCGTTGATGGTCAACGACGGCCATGCATTAGTCATCATTGACGGCTAAATGTGGCTAAAGATGTGGTCGCCAACGGCCAGATTGGCGTATTACTGGTCAGATCCAGTCGATAATATGCCATTACGCCAGATTTTGGTCACCTTTCGACAGTGGTTATCAGAATATGACAAATGTGAATGGGTGAGGGTGTTTTTATTAATTTATAAAACTTTTTTGTTATAGGTGTTTAGTTAAATTAACAAATCCATGAGGGTTTAAAATAGTTGAATATTATAAGATATGATTTTGAGAATAACAAACAAACATATATTTTTTTTTTTTCAGAATAGGAATAGAGTATTTTGAAAATAACGAAATAAATGCAGCCAAATTCCTATTCCTATTCCTATTCCTATTCCTATTCATTGTATATATAAATATATATTTCAATCAATTTCAACTGACACCCAACTTCCCTTTTGATGGTTTTGGTGATCTCTTTTCCACCTATTTTCACATGCCCTTGTTTTCTCACCACAACCCCAACGACTTCTATCAGTTGGCCCCATTTTCCCTCTTTTTGGTTCTCAAACTTTCTACCCATTCATAATTTTGTTGAGCTTTGTTGGTCTCACTTTTGCTCCACTTTATTATTCTGTGTTTATTTCATTTACCCCTCTAAAAATTTATACTGGGTTTGCTTTATTTATCGGTCTAAAAATTATATCGGATTTTCATTATTTACCGGTCTAAAAATATTATTCGGTTTTTTTTTTTATTTACCAGAATAAAAATGATACTGGATTTATTTCGTTTACCCTTTTGCAATCAATTAATATTAACATATTTATTGTTTTTGAAAAATATTATATATTATTTTAAAATTATTAAAAATCTCAACTTATAAGAATCATTTGATTGACATATTCCTATTTAATAATATAAATTATGTCAATTATACTATTTTCACATTCTAATAATATTGTCGGTCCACTAGAGTAATAGCCATGCTCTTAACAATATGCAATTATATCTGTGGTACATGTCTTATTGCACTCAAAAAACTATAATTATAAATCATATCAAAGTTAGTAACATATTCAATTGTTATTTTAAGTATACGCGTCCGTTTATGTATATCTCTGCTATTCTTTAGAGAAAACTATCATAGAGTAACTCATTGTCGCACTTCCTCACGTAAATCATGAGAAGATATTACTTTTGCTTGTAACGGACATAATTGTTTTTTTATATGCATTAATATAAAAATAATTAAGTTTAATTACAATAAATTATACTTATGGCTTACTATCATTGACATTCCGTGTTGTCTTTAGTTTATTATCATTATTATTTTGATAAGAAAGTTTATTATTTTTTAATAGATGTGATTAAATTTGGTATAATCTATAATATGTCATTAATTTTAATTTATCAAGTGGATGATGAAATAAAATAATTAAACACAGTTCTTTTGAGAAGTATGATATATATTTTTTATATTAAGATAAATATTATTTTGGGTAATTAATTAGGAGTGAGTGGAAGGGTGAAATTATAAATGAAATAATTAATAAATTTGATTTATTTACAAGCAAAAGGTCCCACACGTGCCAAAACTGCAGCCAGGAGTTTTGATTCGGTCACCTACAAGCCACTCAAGTAGCTCACCACACACTTTGCGATGATTTCCAATTCATTTCATTTTTATTTACATTGTCACCCCTCAAGTTTAGTAAAAAATAATGCTGACAAAATGCACGGATCTAAATATGGATGAGTGGGGGGCTGGTGACCCCACTCAAACAAAAACTTAGATTAATTTGATTTAATTTTAAACTTGCCTCTTCTATAATTAATTCTTAGGTCCGTCCCTGGTTGATATCTCAAATTAGAGATTATGTCAATTGAACAAAACGATGTAAGGGAAAAAAGACTATTGAAAAAATAATTTGAGGCTTTGGTGAAGCGAATGACATTTTTACATTAAAAGAAAGTGTTATGTGCATGTTTGGCTAACTATTTTTATCTGTATTTTAGACCGGATTTTTGAAATGTTGTTTGTTTTATTATTTACAGAATTCTACCCTGATAATGGAATCCTGACAACTATCCTGACATTCTGACCGTTACAGTTTGTTTTTTCTTTTTTTTTTTCACTGCATCCTCACTGTTTGACCATTTCACTTTCTCAGTATCACTGCATCCTCACTACCAGCTTCGTGCTTCAGTTCTCAATTCACATAACCGTTTTCAGTGCTTTCACTTTTCTCATACCATCACCACCATTTCAGTTTCTGATAATCCATTACCAGGTTCGGTGCTTCACTTCCCAGTTGCATTACCACCATCTCCCTTTCTAGTTTCCAATACCAGCACCGTGAACCCCCAATGCCCTCTGTCACAAACCCACATTCTAACCCAACGTGAACCCACCGTCAACCCGGAAACCAGCCCACCCCGAGCCCCCACGCACCACCACGACCCCAACCCAGCCCACCCGAGCCCCACGCACCCACCCCGAGCCCCCACGCACCACCACGACCCCCCCCAGCCCACCCGAGCCCACACGCACCCACCCCGAGCCACCACGCACCCGATCTCCCCACACAATCCACCCGAGCCCCCACGCACCACCACACCAACCCAGCCCCCCGAGCCACCACGCACCCACCCCGGACCACCACCCACCACTCCGAGCCCCACGCACCGATCTACCCCACACAAGCCACCCGAGCCCCCACCACACCACGACCCCAACCCAGCCCACCAGCCACCACGCACCCCGCCCCCACCACGCACCATCTACCCCACACAAGCCCACCGAGCCCCCACGCACCACCACGACCCCAACCCCCCACCCAGCCACCACGCACCCACCCCGAGCCACCCCACCCGATCTACCCCATACCAGCCCACCCAGCCCCCCCACCACCACCACGACCCCACCCCCCACCCAGCCACCACGCACCCACCCAGCCACCACGATCTGGATCAACCCCCACCCAATCTCCATCAAACCCACCTCATATCTGCGTAAAGCACCCCTCACCGTAGTTGCATTTTGACACTGATTTTTTCCTTCAAAAGACATTCTTGTTTTGTGGAAAATGTCCACTAATAAAACAAACCCACCTTATATCGTAAAGCAATTGGTTTTTTCGGCTTTATTGTTTTAATTGGGTTTTTTTTGGCAATTATTGTTTTATTTGGTTTTTTGTTTTAATTCAGTTTTTATTTTATTAGGCAATTGGCATATAATTGTTTTAATTGGGTTTTTATTTTATTCGGCAATTGGCACAGAATGTTTTAATTGGTTTTTTGTTTGTTTGACAGCTTTTTAATCTCGTGTACACACGGATCATTTAATTGTATTTGGATGTTTATCTGACTCAGAGAAGGGAAAGAGACCCACGACGTATCCAAATCAAGTTTGTAAGTTTCCGTTACCTATTTGTTTCAAGACACCAAGCCGCTATTTTTTCAATTTTTTTTGGAAATAATTTGTATTAGTACTATTTTTTTCTTTTCATTAATCCTTTTATTTGGACTTTAATATGCGTTTTGTATTTGGTTAACTGAAATATTTATTCCGTTTCACTAATGATTTATTTGTTCTATGATTTGACATCGTTCTTTAATCGTACCCAGAAATTACGCTCATATGCATAGATGTCAGCATAATTTATCTCGACGTCGCAGGATTGATTATTACTTGCAACAGAGGCGAAAGTTTCGACGTTTTTCCACAGTTGGAGTTCGTCATACACCTGTTGGTCGACAGTGTCTGTATCTTCCCCTGCATTGACGTCTTCAAGCAGTGTCGGATCGAACGAGGTATACTTTTATATGTGTTTAGTTGATTACGTTAACATGTGAGTATTATATTGTGTAATGTGCTTGGTGATTCGTATGGTGCCCCATGTTGGTTGTCCCTCACCGTACTGTCCTAGATGGGTGATTCTGTGGCTTGGTCTGCTGAGATACCCACAGATTTCTGGTCCGTTATCTGAGCGGGCCAAAACTTCACATGGTACTGCAAAAAAACAGTTGATTACCAAGAAATGTTGGACGACATATCATCATTGGCTGGCAGGAGACTCAACGTGACGCAATTAGCCTCTAAGTTCTTTCGCCTGCGAAAACTTTATCAAGCATGGCGGAAATTGCTGCAACACACAGGATTCGGTGGATCAGGAGTCACAAAGTCCACGTGTCCCGTTGAGGTTTGGCAAGAATATGTCAAGGTAAATTATCATATTTTTTAACTATTATTATTCAACGTCATTGTAAATATACGCATTTTTTCGGACTGCTAAATATTAATATATTATTCGTTTAACTTATCAGCAAAACCCACTGGCGCAACAATTTACCACAAGGGACTTCCCCACAAGGAACTTTATAAATAATATTGAGAAGCAAACTGCCACTGGAAGATATGCGTACACATCTACATCCCAACAGGTGGAGCCCTCCAGTTATTCCAATCCGGCTCGGTTCCTAGGATGATAGCGACTTTGAACCGATCCTGATCGTTTGACAGGGGAAAAAACGGCCAAACACATCTGGTCATGGAGGAGCGAGAAATCGGAGGCATAGAAGGGGGCCCACATACTTGCGATGCCATTTTTAGCTTTAGGATGACTTGCGGAAAAGCGGACAATGGGATCCAGGGCTTCCGATGTGAGTAGAGATGAGAGGGAAGAAGCGAACACCAGTGCTCCATCTGATCCTTTCTCCATGAGCAATTGTATTGACATCATGACAGCCATGCAAGTACCGACACAGTTTTATCTGCCGGCTGTCACGTACTTATATGAAAATCCAGGGTGGCGGGAGATATTTGTGAAACTCCACTGGACGAAAAGGCTAACTGGATTCACAAAACTTTTTCAAATAATTCGTAGATGACACTATATTTCATAATTGTTTGGCAACAATTTTGTATGCGTCAGTGGGCAGTTGTCATTACAATTACAATTTATAACGCTACTGTATGAACTTATTATGTGATATTGTAATGTGTAAACACTGTTTTAGATTGTCATTACAATTAAATATTGACTGTTATATTTTTCAAAGTAGTACAACAACTGCTAATTGTTGATAAATGTTTTGCAAATGTGTAGGTTTAAATGGCGTCGTCTAGCCGTACAGGAAGAAGATAACGTGCTACAGATGAGAGGGACGAAGAAGAATACTGACAGATATAGCCATTGCACTATGCGGTGTTGCCGCGTTAGAAGCAAGTCGACCTCAACCACACGACTACATCTGATTAACTGTCATCAGTACATGTTGGAAGTACTCAACGGTCATCCTGACAGGATCTATGACAAGTGCCGCATGGACAGAGACTGTTTTACATTGTTATGTGAATTTTTGTCCGATCAAGGCAAATTGCAACCAACCAGGAGGACGAGTTTAAGAACAAGTTATGATATTTCTAACAATCGTTGGAAAAAATGAGACAATCAGAACGATGATGAAGGATTTCCAACATTCGGGTGAGACGATCTCTAGACATGTTACCGCAGTTTGCGATGCTATATGTGAGTTGAAGACAGAGTTTATCACCACCTGACTTCAATGATGTTCCATGGAAATATCAGCAACAAAATATACCCTTTCTTTAAGGTACTGGTTCATTATGTTTGGTATTAGTAGATAGTTAAGTTCATTGTGTTATTATTTGTTTAGTAGGTTAATATTAGTGAAATGACTCATTTCATGATAGGACTGTATTGGAGCCATAGATGGCACACATGTATACGCTTCGGTTCCACGTGAATTTGCCATTAGGTACCGGAATCGCAAAGGATCGATGTCACAGAATATAATGGCTATATGCGACTTAACATGATGTTCACTTATGTCGTTATTGGATGGGAAGGATCAGCGCATGATTCAAGAGTTTTAAATTCAATTATTGATGATCCTAATTCTGGATTCCCATATCCTCCACCAGGTATAAGTATTTTCTTGACGTATTATACGTATTACATCCACTGTTGAGGCCCTGTAATTCAAATAAAATGTTTGATATTATTACAGGGAAATACTATTTGGTTGATGCGGTTATGCAAATAGGGATGAGTTCCTCGCCCTTCATAGGCAAGTGGCTTACCATATTTCGATCACCGCCGTAACCGAAGGGGGCCACAAGAGTTGTTTTATACAGACATGCTTCACTCCGCAATGTTATCGAGAGAACCTTGGTGTTTGAAAAAACGGTTCCGTATTCTAAATGGAATGAACATTATCCGTTGGACAAACAAGGGAAGATTGTCATGGCATGTTGTGTACTTCATAATTTTATAGAATGTACAATATGGACGACCGTATCTTCGAACAAACCAATAATAGTACGGTAATGAGCAAGCATATTGTGATCATCAAAATGGGGCAGAATATGGCCGAAATGGAGAAGGATCGAGTCAACCGCAACAAGGTATTATAGACAACATGATGACTGTACGGGATAACATAACGAATGCACTGTGGGGTAGCACAGTGGACCATGTCATAGTTGTTAATGGAATATACGTGTAATAATGATTGTAAGGGTTGATAATTAGTATTTTGTCATATATGTATTAATGTGATGTTTTAAACAGTGTGATTACTACTTGAAATTAATATGAGTTTTGTTTTTTAATATATACGGGTAAACAAATATACCAATAAATATTTAGTATTATTAAAATGTGAGGTGATAAGTTATATATATATAATCATACTATTTTAACAAAATACAATAAAATATTATATTAATAAATCATTTATAAACAAATATATTAATCAAATATTTAACACAAATATCAAGGTCAAAATACTCTACCAAACACATATTCTGAAAATCATATTCTCGTAATCATAACCCATCCAACTATCCAATCTATTCAAAATCCTATCCAAATACTAAACCAACGCACCCGTGTTATAATATTGAAACAATCAATTATTTGTCAAAACTTCCAAAATTATCCAACGTTATCATTGTTTTATCAAAGCTTCTTGTCAATTAGTATATATCAGCGGTTTTACAAAGTATTTTTTTCCAGACATTTAACTAACATAAACAGTAAACACATTTGTTTGCGAGTGTTAATTTCCTAAAATTCGGAATTTCCAACCTCAGGGGTAACACGTAATAAAAACTTTTATTACTCAAAACGGATCGGATAGATAGTAATTTACTTATCTTACAGCGCGAGACACGGATCACTTCCCATCTAACGGAGTTCGCGTGTTCCTGAAACACTGCATAAGGCCCACACTCTCTCTCTCACCTCCACTCTCACAGTAAAAATATTAAAAACCAAAAAAAAAAAAAAAAAAGCACAAAGAAAGCCGATATGTCGGTTCCTCTTCTCTTTATATTAATTTTATAGAGAATCCTCTTTAATTTTCATTATTTTATTTTATAATTAATTTTAATTAAATTCACCATTTATGTAATGAAAAATTAAATTGTTTGTTTATGCGTTTCTTGATCCCCTGATCCATTGATGTCACTTCTCTTTCCTTCTCATTTTCCCGAAAAATCTTCCTTACTTCCTTGAGGAAACACGAGATTCCATATTCTCCTCCTATTTTCTCTCTGCAATTTTCTAGGTACTTCTTCTTCTTCTTTTTTTTGTTCGTTTCCCGAGAAAATCTCACATTACAGTTCTTTCTTCTGTTTTTGTTGTACTTCTGTTGTTTTGATGATTCCGGTAGTTTTCTGACGCTGAGGTGAATTGTTGTGTTCGTTTTGAGCGTTTTCTTTTTCTTTTATTTTCCTGCATTTTCTCGGCAACTAAACAGTGACTGTTTCTGGATTCTAAAATGTTAATAGGTTAACTCTTAACTAAATCAAATTTAAGTTGCTTTTTTCCTTGTTTTGGTTTTCTTTATTTTCTCGGGAAACAAACAGAAGATATGTTTGCTGTTGCGGTGGATTCTGGAATGTGGACAGCTGAGCTTATCTAAATCAAATTTTAGCGTTTTAATTGTTTTCTTTTTCCTTTTTTCTTCTCCTGCATTTTCCTTGCATCCAAACAGAATATATCAAATGCTTTGTAATTTTCTAATGATGTAATTTCGACGTGGAAGCACTGTATGTGGAATTGAAACTCTGACTTTGAATTGTTTTTTGTTACTTCTTTTGCAGGTTAGGAACTTACTCAAAGTCTATTTCTTGATGCGTTGACTCGTGTTTCGAGTTAATCACAATTCATAAATTTTGTTTCAAGATCAGGTTTTTACCATTGAACACTGTACCGCAAGTTTATTTGTGATATTTGTAACGGTTGATTTGTTATTTTCTTATGCTTATGATTGCTGTTCTTGTTTGGATTGATTTCTTTTACAGATTAGTAGATTCAAAATGAGTTGGAATCCACATGTTGAGGTTCATTACTATAACACCAGCTACCCTTATAACAGTGCTGGAAGCTTTATGGAATACTTTGAAGGGCTTACATACGAGCATGTGAATTTCATTTTCGATGGCGCCTCACATGTTCAGGTATGTTTACTGTGATAATCAATGAAATTTTTTCTTGACTGTGGTGGCTCGATTATTATTATGTTTTATATGATTTCGATGGTTATGAGATCCAAAATATGCAAATTTGGGATTGTTAATGGATATGGGTTATTTGAGTCATATCTTTTTATTTATTTTCTTTATGTAGATGTGCAGGGAATTTGTGTTAGTTCAAATGAATAGTTTTGGTTGTTTAATCCTCTATTTACAGTGATATGTCTGTTTGTAGCATGTGATAAATGAGTATGCGATAGATTGAAAGGTTATTGCTAAGGTTATATTAATTGTCTTGTCTAAGAGAATGTTTTTTTTTTTTTTTCCTCGGGTTCCTCTCTTATATGCAGGAAAGTGTTTACCCATCAATGAATACAAGTCTTTACAAGTTTGGGTTATCTGAATCTGGGAGTACTTCATATTACGATTATGGTCATCCTTATGAGGTCAATTATCATGAACCACAGATTGATGATTATAGAAGGCCATCAGAGAACACAGTGAATAATGAACAAAATGCAGCCGTAAATACAGTGAGGGAAAGGAATAGAAATACTACTCCTCGTGAGAACCCTGTTGAATGTAAGTTGTCACCTCTGTTGTGGTGTTAATTTCAAAATAGATGGTTATTTTATGAGAATGATGATGATTAGAAAATTGTACGGATTAGAAAATGAAAGATGTTGACTGATTGTATCAATCACTGAATGAGGTGGTCCCATGTAATAAAATGTATGTGGAACGAATGAAAGATCAAGACAATGGGGATCCATTCATGATTCACAACACGTTAAGGACACGTTCTTATAACAAAATACCATGAAAGGTTGGAGAGAAAGGCCAATTAGTAAGCTGTCATTCCCTAATTTCTTTTCCGTTTCATAACCATGCATCAACATGCCATTGGAAAAGAGCCTTTCCAGTCAAGGAGGGAAACCTAAAAGTGCCTATTCCTGATTAATCATGCTTGAAGTGGCATTGAATAGACTGGTTGCCTTCTGGTTCAGAAATGGAGGAGTACATAAAATCCAATTATTAAATTACGGCTTTCTCTTTTAGGTTCTTTTGATATCATTAATTCATTTATATTATTGATGATCTGTATTTTCCTTTGAAAAGTCTGACTTGTGAAAGGATTTATTCAGCCAATCCCTTTTGTGAAATTAAGGCTATATTGATTTGAGTTTGACTTAAGCTGTATTTCCAGTGTTATTTGATGATATCATTTTTGCTTTCAAACAAAAATGCTTAGTTGGGAGGTGCCAAGTTTTCCTCACGTTCCTTCCTTTACTTCTCAGGTCCGCGGAGACATCATAACACACACGATTATCAGGTATGTACCTTGTTATTGGTCCCAACGCAAGCTACCTGTACATGCATGAATTACATTTATGAATAGCTTCATATCTCTCTCTCTCTCTCTCTCTCTCTCTCACACACACACACACACACACACACACACACACACACACACACACAGAGCAAACACATACAGACTAAAAGACACACACTCACACACACACATTCATAGATGAAATGCTTCTCTTTTCTTTTCTTCCTTTCACTCCATGATGTTTCCATTGCTGATATAAACATAGTTGTTAAATGTGCACCTAACCATCTTCCACAGTATTGCAACTTACCTTAGCCATAAACCTTTCATTGTCCCTAGGCTCAAGGATTTATTCATGGTTCATAGTAGATTTCAGTGGTCATAAATTAATATCCCTTCATCTGTGATTGATGCAGGTTGTTTGGCAAGACAATATTGATCCTGACAACATGACTTATGAGGTTAGAGCCTAATATTCTCTCTTCTTTCTCCCTTACTAGGCATTTCTTTATTTGCCAATTTTGCATTTCAATTTTTTCCTTGTGACCATGTTAAATGCATTAATACCCCGTCCATCCTTGCATCCCTGGTTTTTATACTGTCTGCCTGTTCAGTTGTCCTAAAGTGAAGAATGATGTCTCTTGGTGTAGAGAATATTATTAATCTTTAAAATAAATTTTTTTGCTATAATATTCCCAATGCATTATGGTTAGAATTACTCTATTATTTGACTGGGTAACTGGGTCTTAATGCTGCCTACTTAAGTCAGTCGCTGCTTGCTTTAAGCTCTATTGGTCATGCTGGTCAGGCATTTATAGACTCTGATTGCTGCAGGACATTGTTGCGTTAACTAATTTGGTCCCTGAATATTATCCTTTAGATCAATAGCTTCTTAAGATAAAAAATTAAATTTTTTTTCCTATGATATGCTTTAGAAATTAAACAATATGTCTGAACATACACACAAGATTCCTTATGATATAATTCTAATGGATGTCAATGAAGCTGAGTTCGTATGTGAGGCCGAATTTCCCCAATTTACTTGACAAACCCTGACTAATTGTCTGGGTAAAGGTTAATTTCATTGGTTCTTTGCTCATTGTGAGCACAACTAATATAAATATGGTGGTTATAGTTCCCATAGAGATGTTTGTATCTGTTAAATGATAGAACAGAGTTGATTGTTGATCATGTGGGTTATGAATTCGATATGAATGCTCATCTGTCAATTCTGATTTGGTCATATAGATGAATGCGTTATTTAATTTTAAATGAACTACTCTGTGTATGGAGGGAAAATGCTCAAGTTTTAATTATTTCTTCTCCCTTTTGTAATGGGTGCTTTCTAGTGATTAAATTTACTCCAGTTGTATCTGGTATGTGAACATCTGGTACTTCTGGAAAGATGAATATTAAAAAGTTAAATTTAGTTTATTCCTTTTGTTTTGGATTATTATTTATGACTAAATCAATCATGATCAGGAATTACTTGAGTTAGGTGAGACTGTGGGGAGTCAAAATCGGGGTCTTTCCCAAGATCTTATAGCGTTGCTTCCAATCTCAAAATACAAGTGTGGGTTATTTTCTAGGAAGAAATCAAGAAATGAAAGGTACCATTCAAGTTTATTCTCTGTGTTATTGTTAAATTGTAATTCAATTCATTTCTTCTTTAACTGTTTTTGTAATTGTGTTGCTCAAGGTTCAAGTTCGCAATCTGTCCTATTTAATGTTTTAGTTTATATTATTTTCTTCATTTCATGGTCTACCACTATCTTATTTGCTGCTTTCTTACTTCTACTGAGATCCAGATCCCTTAGCAGTTATACTGGAACAATTAAATAGAGTTCTGGTACATGTCTGACTTTTCGGGTTAAAGGAATAGTGTTTGTTAATGTTGAAACAAAAAACAAGCTTTGAAATGGATCTGTTATCATTTCAATGCTAAAAGGAGTGCTACTGAAACATAGAGGGAAGCTTGGAGTTGATTTATGCTACTAGGGGAGACAGCATTGTATAAATAATTTGGAAAGCTTCAAGAGAGTTTTGTGATAATTTGTTACTAGGTATTGTTAGTTATCGGGAATTTTCTGATATATGATTGGCACATGCAAGATTTCCACTGATTTTGATGCATAATTTACCATCGTCTATTATTCTAATATCAAGTATACTTTTTAATGGATCAATCTACTTGTTTGCAACCATAAGCTTGTGACCAATTCATGGGTTCAATATTATTCAGGAATTTGATATGTTAAAATGTAATAATAGATTGTCTCACTCTGGCATAACTACTCTATTTGTCTCTATTTCTCTGACAATGACAGACAGGCCTTCTTTTATATTTATTTTATTTTTCGTTAAGTGTGTGAAACTGGGTTGGGATGATGGGAGTGGAGTTCTTATAATCCTTGCTTCTGGTTTTGTGAACTTTAGTCTGGCCTAACGTATTAGAGAATTGGAGACACGAGTCCTAAGGTCAAAGTAGGCTTAACATTGTTTTTGATTTGTAATATATAATAACACCGAAATCTAATCATACATGCTTTATTTGTGGTGGCCTTAGTATCAAAAGAATGAAGTAGTTTTCTCGATTCTCACACATTGAAGCCTTCCATGTGCCTTCCTTCCACCTTATAAATCATATAAACTATGAGCCTTATTATATTGATTAGGCCTTTTCATCCTTTATTTTCCGCACCAGTAAGTCAAACTTGTTAATCTAACTTACTCCCTCATTTTGGTAATAGGTGTGTAATTTGCCAGATGGAGTACAAACGAGGTGACAGGCGCATCACTCTACCTTGCAAGCATGCATATCATGCCGGTTGTGGGGCCAGATGGCTGAGCATAAATAAGGTAAGCAAGTTGACTATTTCAAGCTATTTTAGGAAGGTTCTTTTATCTCTATTGTATGAGAAGCGGCTGACTGGATTTTTATTGTCTCAGGCTTGCCCTATATGTTACACTGAGGTGTTTGGTGATTTGTCGAAACGTTAGGAAATAATCAGCGATGAACATAAAGAGGATAACCTTGGTATTGTTTTCTTTTATTTTAACATCCACGTATCTTTCCTTCACACAGAGATGCTTGTTCTGTTTTCCCACTAGAAAAAAAAAGAAAAAAAAAAATTGTGCTAGGGTTTTGCAATAAATGAAGAAGAGTATGTACTCCGTTAAAAATGGACATGACGTCAGTGAGGCCGAAAGATTGTATAGAGTTTTCATGGTTAATTTTCCACTCATCCACTTAATTATATCTTGAAACCTCAAAGACTTAGTCGTTAAAGGAGATTTTCTATGCTTATACGGAAACTGTGAACAGACTTTTAGTATACCAGTTCTCATATTGACTGGGTGTTATGTGATTGCTACTCTTTCCTTTGATTCAGTCTATCTGATGTTATGTTTGTATAAATTTAGATTTTACAGTAACTCGTTTTGCCGTCTGCGTTGTATGACTATGTCTGAATCAGCTAACCAATAACTGTAATGATTTGTAGATTATGCATGTTGGTTTTGTCAATACAAGAAAAGCCTTCTTTCTACGGGAGGTTCAACTACTATATTGACCTAGCAATGTTAACACGTAAATATATAGATTTTTAAATTGTATGTTAGTTTCTTAATTTTGTTTTTTTAACAAATTAAACAGACCGTAGTCATGTCTTTCATAATTTATTTTTTTCTTCTTTCAAATGCTGAAGCAGTGGAGAAAAGGATCTGGATTTGCCTTTTACCTAATCTTTGCATGATTTCATCTTCTTCTAGATATCATTTAACAAATTAGTTTTGGTTGATTTTGCCTCTATTAACTCAAATTTAGTCCCCTACAATTTGATAATAATAATACTATACCCATGATCTTTTTATACACTGTTTTTCACAAACTTATGTATCAAAAGATGATTGAATGACTTTAAATTTAAAAAAACTTTTACCCAATTATGAAAGTTTGTATAAAAAAGTTATGGATGAAGTATTATTCTTTGTTTTTCTAGTAAGTTTAAAATAGATTCCCTCACCTCTCCTCAGATTTAAAAACTTCTCTCAAAGCTCTCCTATCCATCGATTGTTAACAGAATCTGTTAGGTTTAATGTATTTTTCCTGGGAGAAAATCACTTTAAACGCTATGTATATAATATAAAAAAGCCTCTCAAATATTTGAAATTCTTCTCAGCCCCCTGTGAATAAAACCAAATTTTCTCAACTTCAAAACCAATTAAATATCTTATTTACGCCTAATTCTAACACCCCCCCCCAAAAAAAAAAAAAAAAAAAAAAGCAAACATACGCTAGGGGCTTTTTAAATATCCATATACTTGGGGGGATTAGATATTTTGCCCTTTAACAGATTTTGTTAGCAAAGGGTGGATAGGAAAGGTTTGAGAGAATTATTGAAATCTTAAGAGAGGTGAGAAACACTATTTTTCAACTTATGGGGTGTCAATGGAAAAATACAAGCCTCAGGGGAGGTGAGGGATAATAAGCCTAAAGAAATCAATTAATCTTATCCATACAGTTGGATAGTGACCAACATGTTAAAGATATTCCAAAGATAAGATAAAAATTAAAATTCTAAACAAAAATTTCAAAGAAACCCATGCAAATTAATATATTCTACAAGCAAACATTTCTTATTAACAACAAAACCTACCACTTGTCCAACACCCATTTACCATTAATATTATAAACAAAATCAAACCCATTTCTTACAAAATCTTTACTCTCAATCATTATAAACTCCATTGATGAACCAGTCTCACATTTGCCTCTTCCTACACTAATGAAGCCAAATTTTATTTATATATTTATTTATAATCACTCAATCACCGACTACCGCTGACTTCATTATTAATACCATTTCATCCAAATTTGTGATGAAATTTTTGTACCTAACACTTTCTTTGAAACAGCCATACCAACCACTGGCAAAAATTGATATATGTTGTTGTATATTATTAATTTTGTTTGAACGAGCTCTATTTTGACTTCATATTTTGTACGAAGTTTTATTGGACACCCTTGAGGTTTCGTGAGAGAATAAAGAGACCCACAACTTTCATAATGAAACATTTGCGTCTTTATAATAGAATGATGCTTGTGAAAAGTAATTATTATAAGAGTAAAATATACCACAAAATAAAAAAATAAAATTTTTTATTTCTCATATGTCTTAGTTAATTATCAAAGTTTAATATTTCTAAATCATTTAATATATTTAATAATTTGATCATACGAAGAAGAGATAAAATAAGGACATATTAGTTATTGTACCAAAATTCTATATGAGAATTAACTTTTCATAAAATGTCTGTTAATTATAAGGGTGTAAGTGTTTTGTTATGAAATCTGTGGGTCTTCTGTTACTTTGACTAAACCTCAAGGGTGTCCATAAAATCTCCATTTTGTTCATTTATTTTTTATTAAGTGTTACTTTAAAGGCGAATATAAAAGTACTTCTGTAAAGCATCTTATAACTACTCTCTATATATCTTAGACTTGTTCAATGTTCATTGGCTTATATGGGCAGAACAGATATAGAGGAAAGCTCCAATGTCTAATGTATGGTTGAAAAAAGCACTTATTAAAAAAAAAAAAAAAAGGAGAAAACTGTGAGATTTGGGGACTAATTTTTTAAAGTCTTAATCCAGGCTGTTATAAACATTAAAGAAATATATCTGGAGTTATCAATGATTGGAAAATCTCACTATATAAAGAGTGCATGGCATTTGTGTTTTCTATCAAACAAGTCAAAAAAACAGTTCTAAAAACTTGAAATGGGATCACCGGGACAGCCGGGGCAATGGCCTCGCTTGGTTTACGCTATGGCAATTTTGCTTGCTGCCACCACTGCTGGAGCTACAGATTATACGTATGGCTCACCGCCGCCACATGACTACTACAAGTCCCCACCTTCTCCACCCAAGCATGAAGAGTATCCACCGTATTACGACAAGTCCCCACCACCATACTACTACAAGTCCCCACCTCCTCCACCAAAGAAGGAAGAATATCCACCTTATTACTACAAGTCTCCACCACCACCCAAAAAATCTCCTCCACCTCCTTACTACTACAAGTCACCACCTCCACCACCAAAGAAGGAAGAACATCCACCTTATTACTACAAGTCACCACCTCCACCTAAAAAATCTCCTCCACCTCCATACTACTACAAATCACCACCTCCTCCACCAAAGCATGAAGAACACCCACCTTATTATTACAAATCACCTCCACCAAAGCATGAAGAACAGCCGCCTTATTACTTCAAATCGCCATCTCCTCCAAAACACGAAGAATATCCACAATATTATTACAAGTCACCCCCACCTCCAAAAGGCTATTAAGCTTACAGTCACTTGAACTTATCTGATGCTACCAGGAATAACTAAGTTTCTTTGTGATTCTATGTATGTTACTTTGGCATTGTTATTTTGTGTGTAATAATAAGAGTTTAAATTGGTGAATACATTTGTATCCCAATTCATGTCTTATTTGTACCATTAGCTATAATAAATGGAAGTTAGTAATTTAAGTTTTGATCACTAGATCTGTTGCTCTCTAATTCTTGATAATTGCATTAATTGTATTAAAATAATCCATACCCTGCAAAAGTTGAAAAGTACTCATGTTGGAACATTATTTTCAATAAACATAACCATATATATTATGTTGGGATAATATTGAGAAATTATTCATGATATTTAACTCGAAAATGTAAAATTAGGGATATCACTTGTGGAGCTGTATAATTTTTTCCTCTATTTTTTCATCCTTTTCAAATTTTTTATTTTTTATTCTAAGTGTTTGTTTGCTCTTAAGACTAGCCCTCTAATGCCCTTACATTCGGAAAATTTGCTTGGAAAATTAAATCAGAATGTTTTAGAATCATAATTTTTGCCCTTGTGTATCAAAAAATGAAATATTCAAATTCTGAATCGAATTAAGTATTATAAAGATTAAGAGTGATCAGTTAATTTACTTATAATTATTCCTCAAGTAGAAAGCATTCCATGTTCATGAATGGCTTTTTTCAAAAGGGTTAGGGTTTTTGTTTCATCGATGAATGTGTTGGTACAAGATATGATTTCTTGAAACTGAGGTTTATTTGTTTTTGAGTAAGTAAATAACTCTACGAGAAATTTTCTTATTTGTCCAATTTCTAATGAATCAAGATAACCCTTCGTTACAGTATAAATAGTCATTAATTATTCTTCAACTGTAAGAGGGGCTACTAGGGATTGTTTGAGCAACTTACGTAATAGTTGATCCTTTGCCAATTGATTTTGAGTAGCTTTATCAAAATCAGAAGCAAATTGTACAAAGGCTTCTAATAATGGTAGGTCTGAATACTGCATTGAAATATATAACACCAACTTGATAGCATTGTTGGTCTCAATTGACTGGAGATCATTGATAATATCAAATTATTAGATTCATGTGAGAGCTACCAATTGACAAATGCATATATACAATAGAGTAACCGGTAACCACCATGGAGGAGGTGAGCCCGAGGGTTCGTGAAGTGTTAGAATTCGATGTTATAATTTTCAGCGTCGTGTTAGATATTCTCCGATGCTACTTTAGTGTTTTTCGATGCTTGTTTTGCATTGGAAAATGTTAAGATCTCACACGTGGATCTCACACTCACCAAGTGTGATACTTAAGCCTAAGGTTTATCCCATCTATCAGGCCGGTCTTTTGGGTTGGACTCTCCTTTAGGCTTGAGTTCTAACATTAGTACTTTTGTTTAGAGTTGGGTTGCGGAAATGGCTACCTATAGGCTATATTAAGGTGCAGTGTGCTCTCCTTAGGCGGGGGTGCTGGAATGAGTGAAGCCACCCAAAGTGGATAAAAGGGTTACCATCAAGTCAGTGTCGATAGAGTGAAAACCGCTGTGGATGTCGGTAAGTGTGGTACTTAAACTTAGGGGCTCTCTTACCTATCAGGCCGGTCTTTTGGGTTAGACTCTTCCTTGGGTTTGAGTTCCTACTTAAAACCATAATTTTAAAAACAATTTTCTTGTGGTATACGTTCACAGCTCATGGCAATGTATATCATTATAAGTATATAGACTTTCTTCTAGCTAGACTTAGAATACAACTTTGAGGTGATTAATTTAAGTTTTAAGAAACTAAACCGTGTGAGAGTGTTGAAGTGAATGCAAAAATGTCGTCGGTTTTGGAGGATTAAGTGAAACATCACCGTTTGGATCAGCCTAGAGTTGGATCCTGACCGTTGATTCAACACCAATCTAACGGCTGAGATTCATGCTTCAAGTCAACGATATAAAAGCGCAACAAATTTTAGAAACACCCTTCAGTCCTCATTCGAAGCATTCTCATCTGTTTTTGTTCATTGTTAGGGTTTGCAAATTTTGCTCTGAAATTGAGTGTAACTTGTGTGATTCTTGAGTGGTTTGTGTTAATCATTCGAAGAAGAGTGGGATAGCTCTTGTTCTAGGGATTCTGTGGGTTAGAGTCTCCTTAGAGTCAAATTACGGGTTGTATTTCAGGTCGTTGAGAGGAGGATCTTGAGCTTGTTCTTGAATAGGGCTGTAAATCTTTGAATCCTTACTAATAGTAGTGCAGTGAGCTCCCCATTTCTGGAGCTCAATGTAGATGTAGCTTGCTCAAACATAGAGCAAGTGAACCACAATAAATCTTGGTGCTTGGTGTGATTGTTTCTTTGATTGTTGTGTATGTTTGTTCTTTGTTGGTTTCAGATTACAGCATAACAGTGGTATCAGAGCTATTTGGAAACAAGTCAATGGGTAATTGAATTCTGGAAATTAGATCGAAGAAAATTTGGGTTGTCGAAATTTGGGGGTTTCTTAATTCTAGGGTTTCTCAATCTAATTAGGTGTCTTTAGAGCCTATATCCGAGAAAACTAGTGTCGATTAGACCAAGGGTAGAAAATTAGGGTTCTATTTGAATCTTGAAATTCAAGATTAGTCCTGAGTTCTTGAGTTTGTCGATTCCTAAACACTAAACCTAAATACTACATCATGACAAAAACCACCACCCGAATGGAGATCACCCAATATGATAGGAAGATCGACTTTGGTAGTTGAAAGAAAAAGATGAAGACCCTTCTTTCTCACAATAAAGTTGGCCTCGCACTGCAGAAGGATCCTAAGAAATGGCTCGAAGAGAAACTGAAGAAGAAGGAGGAAATTGACAAAGAAGCATATAATATGATCGTGAAGAACCTATCAAACAGCGTATTGAGGAAGGTTGATGGAATCGAAACCCCCTTGTGGTTATGGGGTAAGCTTGAATCTCTGTATGCTCTTCAATCTGCTCCAAATTTAAGTTTCCTTAAAGGTGCCTTATTTTCTTATAAGATAGACAATAATAAGACCATAGAGGAAAACCTAGACGAATTTCTAAAAATGACCTTCATTTTAAAAGGGGCCGATCAAGAATTAGGGGAAACTAGTTTGACCATGATATTGTTAAATTCTTTAACTAATGACTACCAAGCAGTAAAAAATGCTCTCCAGTACTCCGGTACTGTCCCTAGTGTTGACCTAATAGTTGCAGGCCTTAAAGCTAGGGAGCTAGAATTGAAAGTGCAGAAACAAAATGGCAGCAACCTGTTTGTTAGGGGCAAACCAGAAACTACCCAACTTGCTAAGGGAAACCAATTTAGTCAGGGGTCCAGAAACAAGAAAAAGTGTAAGTGGAATAATAAACAAAAGTCTGAATCTAGGAAATGTTTTTTCTGTAACAAATATGGCCACCTAAAAAAGAACTGCTTTGAGTGGCTTAAGAAACAAAAACAGGGCAATACAGAGAGTAATATTGCCTCCACCAAAAGCTTTGTTGAAGAAACAGAGGTCCTTACAGTGTCTATATCTGATAGTACTAAAAAGTGGGTACTAGATTCAGGATGCTTATTCCATATGAGCCCAAACAGAGAATGGTTTTAGGAATTTGAAGACTATGAAAATGAGACTGTGTTTATGAAAATAACCATGCTTGTAGAGTAAAAGGCATAGGAAGCATAACACTCAGGCTTAGTGGGGGGAAATTGATAAAACTGACTAAAGTTAGGTTTATCCCTAAACTCAAGAGGAACCTTATTTTATTAGGAACCTTAGATGAAGTAGGGTGTTGCTAAAAGGCTGAAAATGGGTGGCTGAATGTGTACAATAACCAAAATCTGATTCTGAAAGGAGAAAAGAGGAATGGGTTATATATCCTATGTGGTGATTTCTGTTTAGATTGTGACTACACTGCCCTAGTCTCCTCAAACTTGTCTATTCCTGAAAAATGGCACCTTAAAATGGGTCACATGAGTTAGAAAGGGATAGACATTATGAGTAACCTAGGAATGTTTGGTAAAGAGTCTATTTCTACCCTAGAATTTTGTGAGAATTGTGTCTTAGGTAAGCAACATAGAGTTAGCTTCCCAAAAGGAACACACTTAGCCACTGGCTGCCTAGTGTATCTCCATTATGATCTGTGGGTGCCTGAAAAGGGTCAGGTCCCATGGGTAAAATCTACTTTATGTCTATTGTGGATGATTACAGTAGAAAGGTTTGGGTCTACCCTTTAAGAACTAAAGATCAAACCTCGTCCAAGTTTAAAGAGTGGAAGTTACTTGTAGAAAATCAATTAGACAAGAGAGTGAAAATAGGAGTGCTTAACGAACTGAGCTGCTCGCGAGCCGGCTCGGTTCAGCTCGACTCGAGGTCGGCTCGGCTCATGAGATAGAACGAGCCAAGTTCGAGAGCCTGGCTCAAAAAACTGGGGGCTTTTTTGAGGTTTTCTGAAATAATGGGATTGAATTGAAAATTATGCAACAAAGTTTTAAAAAATAACAAAATGGCCCCCAGTATTAAAATCCCCAAATCATCGATTTTCGTCAATAGATGAAATTGTGCTGTAAAACTAATCTCAAATCACGATTTTCGTCGTCATCATCAGGACAACTTCCAGTCGGAATTTCGTCATCAGTTCTTCCACCGTCTTCTTCGTTGGATTTTTGTCGCATTTCTCTGTTCGTTGTGATTTGCTTGCATTTCTTTATTTTCTGTGAAACGGATCTGCGACGCCGTCGATCATCGATTTGTCGAGGTAAGGTTGTTTGTTTTCGCTTTCTCTGTTCATTGCAATCTGAGACTGTGATTGATTTTTGTGAAGGATGTCAATGAAATTTTAAGTTAGTTTTTTGTGAATTCTTTGTCTATAACAGGGGGCTTTTTCTGGTGAAACAATTTAGGGAAGAGCAGTCTGCCGTGTTGTGGTCATTGACCATCGTGGTGTTGCTATGAAACCCATACAAAAATCATTGAGCCCTTGATCTGGTATCCTGTATTCCTAGTTAATGTTTGTGTAC